TATATTATTTATATTATTTGATACAGTATAATCATATCAGATATATTATATAATATGTATAATTTATATAATATTAATATATTTTATTTACCGTCTAATAATTCGCAAGAAAATTGAGAAAATCGAAAATCGATACACAAGTACACCGACACTAGTACACAAGATACACAAGATACACAAGGGAAAAATTAATATACAAAAAAAGTAAAAAATCTGCATTGTCTGCAGTATATCTTTGATTCTAATTGGTCACGATAATTTTCGTACGACTTGATAAAATTTTTTTTTTCTATAACTGATAATCGAAAATCCGGAGTATACACTCCGGTTAGTAAGCTTTCTCGAGTATGAAACTAAAAGTTTACTACGCGAGAAAGGTTTAATTCACGTGTATATTTTGATTGTTTCAATGATAAAATGATGTTTTCAAAGAAAATGTTACCGATTTAACTTATGATTTCTTGTTATCATATTATTTTTATGATATCACTCGTAATCTATTGTATTCTCGTGTCAATTATATTCAATTGAATCGCTTCGAAGCTTAAGATGCGTTGTTAGATATGAATGGATAAAAAAAAAAAACAAAAACAAAAAAAACAATATGCAACTATCAATTGATTGATAATTGATTACCCAACTGATTAATTAAAAGGTTTTTTTAGACTTTTACTGTCTATACCTACTGTCTATACCTGATTTTATAATAAATCAATATAAAAAAAATTACTATATTATATAAATAAATAAAATAGTTGATGTCACTATGAATGGCGGGGTTTATTATACAATAACTTGATTCCGTAATATACTCGTAATATGGACCCTAATTAATCCGGTGAACCCTACCGATCTGCAACTATTGGCGAAAATACATATAAATGCAATCTTCTGCTTTCTTTCAACTTCTATCCATTCCAACAGTAGTTACTAATTGTTGTGTACTTTCTCTCGTCGTCGACTTTATTCAAATTTCCTTTCTTTCACGACATTCACGTAAAAATTTATCAACTATCTTCTTTCACTTTTAGTACTTTTCGTATTTAATCAACAAAAAGTATCTTGTCGGTGTGTCTTGCTTTTTTTTCCTCTTTCCTGTTCCGGTTTCAAATCAATTTTATTAACTTTAATTCGCGTGTTTTACTCTAATTTCTTTATAATTTATTTAAAAAAATTTCCTTTTAAAGAGTATCAACTTCTTTTGTTAAGGTATCATTTTTAATTTGAATTTTTTTTTTATATGTTAAATTATTGACTTTCAAAGATAATCAAAATTTATTTAACCAATGATCTCGTTTACATTTTATTAGATACACTTGAAAATCTTTAGAAATCTTTAAAAAAATCGTTAAAAATCATGGAAGATATCAAGTCATTGACTGCGGATTTGACCAATACTAATACTTCATTACTTGATTTCTCTGTTGATCAAAAGGTATCTTTCATTGTGCCGTTTAGTCACGTCAAATCTATGTAATTCTGTATCTGCACGGTTTTTATAACGCATATAATTCATTCTTGTCGCGTCATACCTATTATTCTGGTCTTTAGCGATTGTCTTTACCTTCGCCTCCTTCTACACCGGCGTCCCGCACTAATGTATTGCGAGATATAGCTAATATTATCAATTCCGAGACGGATTTTGGTACCTCTGGAAGAAAAAACCGTAAGTTGTCTTTTAATAGTAAGTATCATTTTATTAATATTATTATAAATTTTTTATATATTATAATTAAAAAGTTATTTAATATACCTTTTTCGTTTTTTTAATAAGATAACATGGATGTCTCTAAAAATATATCAAATATGCCAAATATGTCTAAGGACTATAATCCTCGTGCCGTCACTTTTACTCAAGGCTGTTGCTCTTTTAATCTTACGCCTCCTAGTACTCCATCAAATATATACGATAAAGAATCAATCGCTCGTCAAATTGCAAAGTTATACGTTGGTCCACATAAGGAACAAACTCCTGTTGAAGAGACAATTTCGATCTCAAAATCTGGTCAAGGTCTATTTTGTTTCCCTCCAGCTGTGTCAAAATCTGATACGAGGTCAATTACTCCTTCTCCAGTTGTAACCAATGCTGGCCATAAATCAACTTTAAATGGTTCCGAGATGTTTGGTTGTACTTGGGGTGCTTTACCTTCTAGGTGGTTATACGTCTCAAATTTTCCAACTGATGTTAATCTTTGGCGCCACATGAGATCAATTTTCGAGGTAATCATTTAATAAAAATTACTACTGCGCCACCTCCGATTTTTTTTTTTTTTTTTTTTTCAACTTGCCCGCCTTTTTTTTTTCTTATTAGATTTATGGTGACGTCCAAGAAATTCTTGCTGGAATCGGTTATGCTTATGTGATCTATTATGATCTTCGTGACGCTGTGAAGGCACACCAATTTCTCCGTCATCAAGACGCGCCTCATAATCAGCGTAGATTGGAAATTCAGTTTTCTTCTAAACCATGCGCTGTACAGGTATAATCATATTTTAATAATAATAATAAATAATTATTAATAATTATTAATAATTATTAATAATTCTAATAATGATAATTATTATTATCATTATTAGAATTATTATTAATATATATATGTTATTTAAAAACTAAAAAAAAAATTATATACGTGAAAAATTAGGAATTGCCAAAAATCCAAGGTAATGAGTGTGATTGGATAAACGAAGGTATCATCATGGTTTCTTGGTTTGGTGCACAATCAATTAAATCTGCGATCTTGGTATTGTTTTTTTATATATATATTCATGTTCATTTTTGGTAAATCATTTCCCAATTAACGTTAATAATTCCTTTTTATTTCTTAGAATCGTTTCGACGAAGTGGGTACAATTAGAATTGCCAGATCTTTTTCTGCTGCTCAAAATTTGGTCCTTCTTATCGAATACTATGATACACGCGCTGCTCGTGCCGCCAAAGAATCAATAAACGGCTCAATTATTGAGGTATCCTACATATACATATACATACATATACATATATATATATATATATTTCTTTCTTTTCAATTTATACTTGAAAGTTCATAATTCGCTTATTTTTTTTGTAGGGCGCTCAAATCCGTGTCCAATATTACGACGCCGGATCACAATCATGGGATGCGGTTGCTGAAGATTTTAAACGTCATCAAAAAACTGGTTTAGCCGTTCCTCCACCTCCACGTCAATTTCCGGTTGCTCCTACTGATCCTGAAAATAGGTCGGAAGATTTGGCAAAATTTTCTCCATCCCCACCTGAAAATAGTACTGTAATTTCATCTGGTAACAGAACTATTCCAGAAAAAAATACCCTTGATCTTGAAAGAATTAGAAATGGTATTTTTATAGTTTAAATAACTTTAGTATTTTTTTAATTTTTTTAACATTTCATAATTTCATAATTTCTTACCATTTCGTAATCATAATTATAATAATAGGCCTTGATAATCGTACCACATTCATGATCAGGAATATTCCGAACAAATATACTCAGGTATCTAATCATTCTATTATCAGTGGATATAGTATGTAATTTGTACATTTCTGCTTACAAATACTTAAAAAATTTAGCGAATGCTGTTGGATTGGCTTGACGAAACTCATTGTGGTCAATATGATTTCGTCTACTTACGTATCGATTTTAAGAACAAATGTAATGTCGGATATGCTTTCATTAACTTTGTGGATGTCAAGTATGATTTCTCTTTTATACATATAGTATATGATTTTGTTATTTTGTTTCTCATTTTCCTAATATTTATAATATTGTTTCAAAAAAAGCGCCGTACTTTCTTTTGCTGAAGCACGTGTTGGAAAAAAATGGTATGAACATTTTCTTTTTTTTATATTGTTATAATACAATTACCACGTTTGTAACAAATAGTATTTTCAAAGGCCAAGCTTCAACTCTGACAAGATTTGCGAATTGTCATATGCCAACGTTCAGGGCAAGAACGCACTCATCCAAAAGTTTAGAAATTCAGGGTACATATATTAAAAAAATCCATTTTTTTGTAAATTTTATCATCATTAAATAATGATAATTTTATATATTTTCTTAAAAAGCGTCATGTCGGAAACTCCCGAATACCGTCCTAAACTCTTTCATACTGCGGGACCCTTGCGCGGTTATGAAATGCCATTCCCAAGACCCGATAACGTTGAAAAGCAAATTGCTTTGAGAGGAATGTTACGAAAATAAGGTTTTACTACTCACGTGTAGGAGTCCTGGAGTGCGTTAAGGAAAGCGCTTAGTTTTATCTTTTTTTTACCCTTTTTATTTATTTACTTTTTTCCCCTTTTTCCCTCCCTTTTTTTTTTTTCTTTTCTTTTTTTTTTTTTTTTTTTTGCTACAATATTTCTGCTTATTTGGGAGGAAATTTAACACAAAAAAAAACAAAAAAAAAGAATTTTTTAATTATACATTTACGTACGGATATAAGGAACATTATTATTTTATTTTTTTTTATCGACTTTTAAAGAGGACATTTTTTTCTGCGATTTTCATCAGGTGGATTTTATATTTGTTTGTATATTTAATGTTAATAATGGAAAGGTATCAAAGTAATTAGGACTGTTTAACTACACTCACATTGGGAGGTTAATCGTTAGCATTTGTACATAAGCTGCAAAGACAATTGATAATGTGTTCTCACTATTAACGAGAACCATATGAAAGAACTTTATTTTATATCGTTTTATATTCTTTTTTTTTTTTTTTGTTTTTTGGTTTACTTTTTCTTTTATATTGGAATTTTTAAAGAAAAAAAAAAAAAGTTTTGTTTAAGAGCATATTATTATTATTTGTTTTCCTTATCGCTTTATTATTACTTTAATAAAAAAAAGAAAGGTTTTTCTAATAACGATAAGTTATAATTTAACATTGGAAGTTGGAACATCTTGCAGATCATAGATCATTTACACGTAAAGTTGAATGAATGTCTTTTTAATATTAATATTAAGCAAATTTGTAAATTTATTAAGCATTCGACAAAATTATATTAATTAAATTAAAGCTTTTTTCTTTAAAACTTCCCATCGTGAAATATAAGAAGATAATCCACGTTTCCTTCCCATTTCATCTCTAATAATGCTAGCTTTGAACCCATGTTTATGAATCAACTCAAGCAACATTGCATCCTCTTCTTTTGTCCATAATTGTGGCTTCTTTTTTTGCATAGTAACTTCTTGTTTTGTTTTTTTGTCTTGATGATAATTATCATCTTGACTGTCATCGTCTTCATCTTCCGTCTTTAGGTATGACCGACTTTTAGTTCTTTTTAGGTGTGTAGGCATCGAATGTGTGGAATTATGTGATGTCTATTTTATTAAAATTTTTGGTTAAAAAAAAAGAATTAATTTTAATGTTCTCTTCTATTATTATTATTTTTTATTACCTTTTCTTCTTCAGCATTTGCTTTTTTAATTTGACGATTTTTCTTTTCCTTCAATGATTTTTGATTATAATATTCATTCTATGAAAATATACAATATATACATTCATAATGAATTTTTAACTAAAAAAACCAGTTGTGATATTATTAATTAAAATATTACAATTTCTAATTTTGGTTCCAAATGTGCTGGTTTGTTTTCCATTTTACAAACGTAAGATAAAAAATTGAATAGATAGTGAAAAAAATAATAGCAATGATTTTCTTTTATACGTATTATTACTGTAATTGTAAGTCACTAAAATTCTGATAGAATCGTCTTTCATAGTTTTATTAAGGGGTTATGAATTAAAAAATAAATAGTATTTATTTAACTTTTGAAAATCTTACAAAGTTATAAAGTATGATTTATTAAAGAGTATATTAACGATTTAGTAAAGTTTCTAATCATTAAAGAATAGTATTCTATTTATCACTACTACTTTTTTTTTTTGAATTATGTAATGTAAACGTATTTATTTTTTAAACTCGATTCAAATAATACCATCATTGATGCCAGTCAAAAATTTCTTGCTTTCATCGACTCTATTGATTAATCGGTTTTGTTTATATCTCTAGTTCTGTATTTTTAAATAACTATTTTCTATACATTAAATGACTACTAATATATACCGATACTGTAATATTTCCACTTTTCGGTTTTCTATTGGTCGCAAAGTAATCAAAATGATGTCATAAGTGCGGCCGTGGAAGAATAAATAATTATATATCTGTATATTATATACTATATATGCGCATTTTTTACAGGTTATAAACAAGATTCATTTGGGAAATAATTAGTAGAATCTATACTTACAATCCGTGCACCTTGAATCATTTTGGATATATAATATAATTATAGTCTAATACTTACCTATTCCGATTTTTTTTTAACCAACTTACCTCATTAAAAATTAACATATCCGATTGAAACACTTTGAAATAAACAAGAAGCGTACTTATATAAACATAAAAATAATTATGGGATACATGAGAAGGATTGCCGAATAAGGAAATTATTAAAAAGGACAATATCGATAATGTGAATACAGGAATGATAAGTGGAGTTATTGGATATTTTTATACTGTGTCGCTTTCATTTTCTATATTTTCTATGTGACTAAATAAATTTCCTGTTTACAAGAAAAAGTGTAAATAATAAATACATATATAATAAATTTTTATTACGTACTGTAAATAGCCTGATAATCAAATTTCGCTATAATCTTTTTTTTTTTACTTTATTAGCATTAATAATATCAAAATATTTACCCGTTGAAATAAAACAAAAGTGCTGCCGGTGAAATTTAGTTAATATTATTGTAATAATTTTAAATAATGTATTAAATACAGCATGCTTATTAAAGGATACAGTATAAGACCAAAATCATCCTTATATATATTTGAGTTCGCAATTAGAAAAATATAAATATTATTTGATTATTTAATAATTAAGGGGTCAAAGATGATAAAGGAGGTGGATTTTTATTAGTTAGTTAATAATAATTATAAAAAGTTTCGAAAAAAGAACTCGGTCATGTGATCAAGAAATTAAGAACACGAATTTATTTATCCTAGACTCGGAGAAATATGCAAGATCGCGATCAATTTTGAAATAAAAAAAATACTTTAACCTTGTAATATTATCCCATAAACACGTGTCATGTTGTTATAATGCAAAGGGTTAACGCAAAGGGTTAATATGCAAAGGGTTAATGCAGAGGGTTTAATATGCAAAGGGTTAATATGCAAAGGGTTAATGCAAAGGGTTATGCATAAGATTTTAACTAAATAGTCTATATTTCATATAAATTTAGAAATCAAATATTTTTATAACACTAAATAATTTTTAATGTTAAATGCAAAATAAAAGATTTTTGCCGATGCCAAGAGAAAACCTGTAATTTTTCTCATCTTATGGGAAAAACTTATCAAATGCATAATAATGTGAAATTACAGGTTTTCTCTTGCATTGGCATCACTCGTTTGGAAATGAATTTTTATAAATATATAAATGTATGATCGAACTTTTGGTCATGTTTAATGCAGTAATGTGAATTGCTCATCTTCTAGAAGCTGTAATATAGAATTCTTATTACGGTAATTTAAATATCGTATGTCCTGCAGACAATGTCACCTATTTTTGCATTAGCTTTAAATATTGGAATATCGGTACTGACAATATGTATTAATTCAATCCGAAGATAAAAATAAATACTTTAATGGAATTGGCTATAAGTGTGTATATTAGATCAAGTAATTTTATACGTAAATGTTATTTATTGGTTGGGACCAATGTTGAAATTCAATTTTACTTTTATGTTCTCACAATATCATTTTTTTCAAATCCTCGTTCTCTTTACGGAAAAATTAAAATTGGTTTATATCAAAAAATTTATTAATGTTCTCAAATAGAGATCATGTTTAATAAATTATGTTCTTAAAATTTGATTAATGTTCTCGGAGAACGTTGATAACATTTAATTTCGCACGCCGGTTGGGACTAAGGCACCTGTGCATTACAGTAAAATAGAGTTTGCATTTACTTAGAAAATTCTGTCACATTATTTATCTTAAAAAATGATCTTAGTTTTCAAAATAATGCTATTAGGTACTTGCTCTCGCTATGTGAAAGCATATTCCCCATGGTTGAACTGTAGAATTAGTCAAAAGTACATTTTATATTTAATTAACTATAATTTTTCTTTCTGCAACTTGCGCAATTGATTATCAGTTATGAATGTTAAAGTCGATTAAATATTTGGATAATGATGAATAATATATAATTATCAGGCGTGTAGAGAACAATAACTGCAGTTATTTATTTATCGAAAATTTTTGATGGATAATCAGTTGTTGACTGCGTAACGGTCAATAACTGAAAAAATTATCCGTCAAAATAAAGTGGGCCGCGATAGCATTTAACAGATTTTTGACGAATAATGCAGTTACACGCCTAGTAACGGTATTATCCTCTGTTATTGTGGTCAGTAAATAAAGGGTGCTATAATCGTAGATCATCTCATGCCAAAAAATTTCGAGAATTATAAAAATGATGTAATGTAATACAGTATTTAAACAGTAAATTAAAACTGAATACGTGTACTTTTTTTTACAAACACCAAAAGTGATAAATTTTAATGTCAAGTCCTAAATCATTTATAAACAATTTTGCGTTTTTCGTTTTAAATTACAGATTATGTTTTAAATCATAAACCAAATTTTTATTAGTCAGCACTATAACAGTTGCAAATATACAATTTATCTCATGATAGAAAAAATTCACCACCAAGCTTCAGATTTTAAAGTATCAGATTGATTTGAACTGGTAAAGTTCTCTGAATTTTGATTTTGATTTGGATTTTGATTTTGATTTTGATTTGGATTTGGATTTGGATTTTGATTTTGAACCCACTCATTATCGTTCTTTGACCAATTAGCAACCCCTCTAGGATTATTATTTCTTCCGCGTGGTTCTTCGACAAACTTGTCCGTAGCTTGAGCTGCCCCCCAGGGCGAACTCACTTCAGTTTGTGACTTGTCAGCGGCTTGAGGTCCCCAAGGATCTGTTTGTGATTTATCAACTTTAGCTCCCCATGAAGGATTTGTTTCGCCTTGTGATTTTTCTGCTGCTTGAAATCCCCTAGATTCATTTTTAGCTCCCCATGAAGGATTTGTTTCACCTTGTGATTTTTCGGCTGCTTGAGATCCCCAAGGCTCAGTTTGAGGTTTATTGACTTTAGCACCCCATGATGGATTTGTTTCACCTTGTGATTTTTCAGCTGCTTGAGGTCCCCAAGGCTCAGTTTGAGGTTTGTTGGCTTTAGCACCCCATGAAAGATTTGTTTCACCTTGTGATTTTTCGGCTGCTTGAGATCCCCAAGGCTCTGTTTGAGGTTTGTTGGCTTTAGCGCCCCATGATACATTCATTTCACCTTGTGATTTTTCTGCTGCTTGAGATCCCCAAGTCTCAGTTTGAGGTTTATCGGTTTTAGCACCCCATGGCGCGTTCGTTTCACCTTGTGATTTCTCAGCTCCTTGAGATCCCCAAGAATCAGTTTTAGCTCCCCATGAAGGGTTGGTTTCACCTTGTGATTTTTCGGCTGCTTGAGATCCCCAAGGCTCAGTTTGAGGTTTGTTAGCTTTAGCGGCCCATGATGGATTTGTTTCACCTTGTGATTTTTCAGCTGCTTGAGATCCCCAAGGCTCAGTTTGAGGTTTGTTCCATGATGGATTTGTTTCGCCTTGTGATTTTTCAGCTGCTTGAGATCCCCAAGGCTCAGTTTGAGGTTTGTTGGCTTTAGCGCCCCATGATGAATTTGTTTCTCCTTGTAATTTTTCAGCTCTTTGAGATCCCCAAGGTTCAGTTTGAGGTTTGTTGATTTTAGCGCCCCATGAAGGGTTGGTTTCACCTTGTGATTTTTCAGCTCCTTGAGATCCCCAAGGCTCAGTTTGAGGTTTGTTGACTTTAGCGCCCCATGACGAATTTGTTTCTCCTTGTGATTTTTCAGCTGCTTGAGATCCCCAAGGCTCAGTTTGAGGTTTATTGGTATTGGTTTTAGCGCCCCATGATGAATTTGGTTCTCCTTGTAATTTTTCAGCTCCTTGAGATCCCCATGAAGGATTTATTTCACCTTGTGATTTTTCAGCTGTTTGAAATCCCCTAGAATCATTTTTAGCTCCCCATGAAGGATTTGGTTCACCTTGTGATTTTTCGGCTGCTTGAGATCCCCAAGGTTCAGTTCGAGGTTTATCTGTTTTAGCGCCCCAGGATGAATTGGGTTCACCTTGTGATTTCTCAGCTGCTTGAGATCCCCAAGGCTCAGTTCTAGTGCCCCAGGATGAATTGGTTTCACCTTGTGATTTTTCAGCTGCTTGAGATCCCCAAGGATCTGTTTGAGGCTTAGTACCCCAGGGCTGGTTCGTTTCAGTTTGTGGTTTGTCCGTTTTAGCACCCCATGGAGAAGGAGAATAGTTATCTACATATTCGCTACCACCAGCCGTAGGACAATCTTTCGATAAATGATTTTCATCCCCGCATTTAAAACATTTTCGTCTGCCTTTTCTCGGTTCAGTACATTCCCGAGAAATATGTCCCTCTTTACCACAGTTGTGACATGTTTGGCCACCAAATCCACGAAAACTTTCTCGTTTCTCACCTTTGGAACCAATCGAATAAATTGAACCAATTAGATATTAATAAACGAATTAAAAGAAATAAACAAAATACATACTATCTTCGTTATCGCAATCTCTAGCTTGATGATCGGTTGATCCACATTTAAAGCTAAAATCGATAATTAACATATTATATTATGCTGTATAATGGAATAAAAACTTCTTTTTTTTTTTTTTATTATATCTCACCATGCTCCACCACCACCACCACCTCCAATAATAGTTTTACGGGCTGTTCCGAAATATTATTGATCAAATTAATAAAGCTTTCAATCACATTTACAATCAAACATATAATCATAGATATGTACTTTCTGTATAGTAGTTACTTCGTTCTTCTGGACAAAGTCTATAATGGAATATGATTAAGTATAATTAGCACATGAAATAATTTCTGATTATAGATTCATCAAAAATATATATATATATACTTTGTCCAATGTTCAGATGATCCACAGTTTTGACATTTCAAAGGTTCCGGTTTCTCAAATTCTAAAGAACAAAAATGATGAATATTTTAATACGCATTATTTATTTTATAAATAATAACTAGATATCAATTAAAATATTACCTCTTTTTGGCTGAGGACAATCCCTAAGAAACAATGACATCATAAATACAAAGGTATAAATTGTAAAACAAACAGAACGATAATAATGGACTGTACATACTTTGTAATATGCCCCTTTCCCCTACAATTGAAGCAGGCAGGTTCATGATCATCTCTCATGAAACCAGCATCAGCAAGCCATTCAATATTTTCTTCTTCATTCCTTGCACGAGATCCAGCAGTACGAGGAAGTCTATCTGGAGACCCCATAATAATTGTAACGGCATATCTTTTTCCAACGTTTCCTTGTAAATCAATCAGACACTTTGTTAACGGAATGCCTTCCCGCTCCTAAAATATGGCACAAAAGAATGTATTAACCAACTAATTGCTAAATATGACATAAATGAATTAAATATACAGATCCTTACTAATGCTATGATTCTGCCTGTGCAGTTTGCAGCACGAAGTTTTTTCTCTATTGATTGAAAAGTTTCTTCAGGGGTAGCTTTAGCATATTCTTCGAATGCTTCTTTAAAATCATCAACGTCTCTTTCTTTATCTGCCTGAAGAAGTTTCTCCCAAGCCTCTTCAGGCGACATACTAGCTGGTTTAGGGTTTTCCCCTAAATATTATTATCGTTAAGTTTAATGATCACGTATAAACTTTTTTTAAAAAAAATGTATATATATGTATTAAACTCATACATGGAGTGTTGGCCTTTCGAACTTTAGAAGGGCACTTATTAGAAATATGTTCAGATGACCCACATATGAAACTAAATAATTATGTTGGAATACAGGTAAGCAAACAAAATATATAAATAAATATATATATATATATATATATATTAAATATTACCAGTTAAGTGATCCACCCTCTTCGGTACATTCAAACGCGCGATGTCCAGGTTTATTGCACTTGTAGCTATATATATATAAAAGGTTATGAAAATATGCATTTAATCATTACAACAAATGTACCACCGTACCAATTCTGGCCACCACGTCCTCCTTCGAATGATTCTTCTGTACAATCCTTAGAAATATGACCTGGTTTATTGCACTTGTAACTAATTAAATGAAAGATTTTATTTAAATATAGTAAAAAAATAAAATAAAATAAAATAAAAAAAACAACAGCAACCCTTACCAAACACCACTTCCACCACCTCCGCTACTACAGTCACGGGCAAAATGCCCTTCTTGCCCACATTTACGGCATGTCTTGCTACCACCAAAACCATCACCTCCGCTACTGCAGTCACGAGCAAAATGCCCTTCTTGCCCACATTTATGACATGTTTTGCCACCACTACCCCACATGCCATTTGATTGCTTTGGAACCCAAGTATCATTACTTGGTTTAGGCATTTCTTCCGATGTACCCCACGTCTTATTAGATCCCTCTTTCTGAGTCCCCCATGCATCGTTATTTGATTTAGATGTATCCCAAACGTTATTGTTATTGCCTTGATTAGGAGTCTCTTTGGTTGCTCCCCATGCGTTATTGCCCTGATTAGGAGTCTCTTTGGTTGCTCCCCATGCGTTATTGCCTTGATTAGTAGTCTCTTTGGATGCCCCCCACGCGTTATTGCCTTGATTAAAAGTCTCTTTAGATGCTCCCCATGCGTTATTGCCTTGATTAGGAGTCTCTTTGGTTGCTCCCCATGCGTTATTGCCTTGATTAGGAGTCTCTTTGGTTGCTCCCCATGCGTTATTGCCTTGATTAGTAGTCTCTTTGGATGCCCCCCACGCGTT